GGCGGCCTCCGCAACCCATGCACCTAAGGAACGGAACTGCCTTGTCAGCTGGCCTCAGTCCCTTCTCTTGGTGATTCTGTAGCTTGTCGACTTCGTAGTCTGAGTCGGTGTCTTCCCTTCACTTGGCGTCCTCATGGTGAACTGCTTTGGTGCTTGACATGCTTTTGGAGGGCCGCAGTGCTTTAACAGCCCCTCCGGTGGCTTCGTCCGCCATGATCTCCTTCAAGGCCTCCTGTAGCGAAAGAGTCTCCTTAGAAAAAAGTTTTTGTTGGAACTCTTGATTCCGGAGGCCACAGACTACATGGTCACTTAGTCTCTCCTCCAAATCTGTGAAATTGCAGAGTTGGGATGCTTGACGAAGAGCGGTGATGAATTCTATGGCCGATTCACCGAGTTGTTGCTCCCGCTGTTCAAAAGCATGCCTCCATGCTATCACGGATAATTTTGGCTCAAAATGATCTCGGAGCCTTTTCTTCAAGTCCGCGTAGGTGATGGACTCGAGTGGCGTCGGGGTGACCAGGTTTTCCACAATGTCGAAGGTGGCGGGGCCACACACACAGAGGAGGGTCGCAGCCTTCAGTCCATCTTCGGCAACCTGGTTGGCATGGAGGTATTTTTCTATGCGGGAAATGTAGGACGCCCATCGCTACGGATGGTTGACGTCAAACTCTTTGAGTTTCCCCACTTTCACCATGGTGAGTTGCTTGCGTTTCTTGTTGCTCGTGTTGCCTTGTGCTGCTGGCTTCTGTGTAGGCCCTAGGATGGATCCTTAGGGCATGGTGGTCTCCAGCGTGGCTTGCTTGGTATACCGAGGGGGGGGAACATAGTTCCTGCCAGGCTCTGTGCTGGCCTCACCCCCTAGTGACTTCAGACTCTTATGATTAAACAGCACATCCCACCTTCATCGCCACTGTTAAGTATTTGGTTCTTGAAGGCATTAAGTGAGATGAGTATTGAAACAGAATAAGTTTATTTAACTCTGAGAAGAAGCAGCTCAAATAGCTATTTATATGGTTAGCCTCCAGGCAGCAGCCAATAGGTTTAAAGTAACAGTTTCCTGCCCAAAACCTAATTACCAGCCTGGAGACAGCAAGTCTGGCTTAAATAACAGCAGCCGTTACATAATAACAGAATCTAGGTCAGACATTCAAACAAGTGATTAGACATTAAGCAAGTGATTCAAAATAGTTATGACCAATACATTACAATGGTAATCTGGTGTCAGCCCATCTAATATTTCTGTCGAGCCCTGCGAGGTCGACCCGACCCGGCCCGGCCACCAGCCACCTCATCTGCCTTACCGGCCTTGCCATTTCGCTGGGGCTCTAGACGACCGGCCCCAGTTGGAGGATGAAGGAGTCGGTCGTCATATCGTCGGCTCCTCCTGGGCTCCGCCGGTGCTACAGCAGGCACTCTCCTCTGACGTCATCCCCCTGCGCCTCGCAGGGCCGACACTTGCCGAGGGGAAAGGACTGACGATGATTGGCCCAGCTGTACGGCAGGGCGGCGAGGACTGGGTTAGGGCCAAGTGTGGCAGGGCGGATGCTGGCTTGAGGGGTGGGGCAGCTTTAACGTGGGTGTGGCAGGCGCATTTCCTATGTAAGGCACTGGAAGCAGACGACTCCCAGTGCTGACTTTGAATCAAACGGAGTGAATTAAACTGCCGTTCGTCTACCGTACCTGCTTGCTGGCTGTTGTGTGGAGCACCAAGACAGGACGCATTGACAGTAAGTCAGCACTAAAAAAAAAATTACCTAAACGTATTTTCTCCTTTCCCGGGCCCGGGTGACAGGAGGCAGCCTTGGAGGGAATGGCAGAAGGAACCCAGGGGGGTGCACCGGTGGAAGAGACCCCAGAGCCAGTGTCGGAGGCTGTGCTGCCATCAGCAGAGGCAGAAGAGGCAGGGGAGACCCAACCGGCAGTGAGGCCCAAGGAAAGGGCTCGGCCCGCGGACATGGGTGAGTCTCACCAGTGGGACCCTGCAGTGGCTTCTGGTGAATGGTGGCTGAGTTTGGCCCTGCAACGACTGGAAGAAGGACGGGTCGCGTACGTTCAACTGCCCAGTCTTGACACCGAAGGGAGTGCCGGCCAGGTGGGGCCACAGCCGCTGTACCCGCTGGCCAGCCTGCGCGTCTCTCCGGGTCGTCAGCGTCTTGGGACCCAGACCCAGGCAGCCGCCGTTCCACCACTGTGGACAGTGGGCAGCGGGGCATACAAGCCACGGGCCCATGGCCGACAGGGTTTATGTGGGGCCCACCACCTATCGCAGCAACCTTTGACGGCGACCCAGACAGATTGGCGATGTTCCTGGGCCAGGTCCTGAGCCATCTGGACTGGTATACGTCGTTGTACTCGTCTCCCTGGGCGATGGTAGTAGCGATAACAACAAGCCTTCAGGGCGAGGCAGCAGCGTGGGCGGCCAACCTGTACAGTGACCATGCCCGGAAGCTGGGGGATGTCGGAATGTTCCTGGAGGTGCTAAGGGCCAGGTTTGACAATCCCTCCTGGATACAGCGCACAGAGACGGAGATACTGGGATTGAGACAGAGCGGCCGGCCCATACGGGACTACGTACGGGAGTTTCAGAGGGCAGCTGGTTGGCTACGCTCATGGCCAGAATGTCTTCTGGTCTATAACTTCCGCCAAGGCCTGGACAAGGAGCTGTGCCAAGCCTGTGTCATGAGGGGGGTGCCAGGCCGGTTGTCAGACTGGTTTAGAGTGGTAACTGAGCTTGATGCGGGACTGCAGGAGGTCCGGCAGTCCACGGACGAACAGGCCACCCCTCGGCGGGGAGGGGAAAGGCCGAAAGAGTCCATCTGGCCCCCGCCCCTGTCTACATCCCCTGCTAAACCAATATTTAGATGTTTCAGGTGCAATCGGCCAGGACACCGGGTGGCGGAATGCCCAGTCCCAGCAATGCAAGGCACCCCGGCGGTTCAGGGGAAACCGAGCTCTACCCCAAAGAAAGCCACGGAACGTTCGAGGTTGGTTCGCCACGCCGAAGGCGGAACTACCCAACGGACCCCAGACGAGACGACCCTGACCGTTCCCGACGACATCCTGGCGGAATATGACAACACGGATCCCGCGGAAGACCCCATGGTAAGCCAGCCGATAAGCCCCTTTACCATCCCGATTTCCCTGACAAGTCCAGCCACGGGCCATACCGGGAGGTATCAGGCGTTAATCGATTCTGGCTGCACTCGGAGTCTGGTCAGCATGAAAGTTGGGAAGGAGGTTGGTATTAGGGTCCATCGCCTGGCCCATCCCATCCGGTTCGAGCAGGTGGATGGATCCCTCCTGGGTGGGGCCCCAGCCACGCTAGTGACAGAACCGGTGCGATTGGACATGGGGGAGCATTGGGAGCTTCTTCGGTTCATAGTGGTTCCCTCTATGACGGAGGCGCTGATCCTAGGGTTGGCCTGGTTGGATAAATGGGGCCCAACCATATGGTGGGGTGGTGGTTGTCATCACATGCGCTTTGGCACTGGCCCTCGGCCACCGAGTATGAACGATGGCACACAGGAAGGGGAGGAGGACTCAGTGGACACAGCACTGGAGGCACGGGAAAGGACGCCCGGATTCCCAGCAGAGTACAAGGGGCTGGCGGAGGTGTTCAGCGAGCAGGGTTGCGACAGCCTCCCACCCCACCGCCTGACCGACTGTGCCATTGAGATACTGCCAGGAGCCAAATTACCGAAGCCCCATATGTATCCCATGACTCAGAAGGAGTTGGAGGAACTGAGGCAATACATAGATAAGAATCTGGCTAGGGGGTTCATACAGCCGTCACGGTCCCGGATAGCAGCGCCGGTGCTATTTCAGGAGAAAAAGGATGGAGGACTCCGATTGTGCGTGGACTTCACGGGCATCAACGCAGTTTGTGTAGAACATCTGTATCCCCTCCCTTTAATGAAGGACCTCTTAGCCCATCTAGCCCAGGGGAAGGTTTTTACGAAGTTGGATCTACGTGAGGCCTATTATAGGGTCAGAATCAAACCCGGGGACGAGTGGAAAACAGCGTTCAATTGCCGTTTAGGCAGCTATCAATTTCGGGTAATGCCCTTTGGTCTACAAGGGGCCCCCGCGGTATTCATGCAACTCATTAACGAAGTCTTGCATGAACATCTATACCACGGGGTGCTCGTATATCTTGATGATATACTGATTTATAGCAAGACCATGGAGGAACACGTCCAACTAGTGCGGGATGTGTTAAGGAAGCTGTTGGACGCTCGGTTGTATGTGAAGTTATCGAAATGCGAATTTCACCGGTCCCGCCTAGACTACCTGGGATATCGGATATCAGCGGAAGTAAAGTAAAGAGTGTGCTGCAGTGGCAAGCCCCAAGGACACGCCGTCAGCTACAAAGCTTTCTGGGGTTTGCCAACTTCTACAGACAATTCATTCCCTCCTTTGCCATGGTTGCGTTACCCCTTACCAACCTGCTGCGGACCCGGATGGTTACAACAAAACCACGTCCGGGACAACCATTGGCTTGGACAACGGAATGCCAAAGGGCTTTTGAGTCATTGAAGGCATTGTTCGTGAGGGAGCCGGTCCTACTGCATCTGGACCCAGAACGTCCATTCGTGGTCCAGGCAGATGCCAGCGACGTGGTGGTAGGAGCAGTATAACTCCAGCACAATCGGCAGGGGAGATTGCAGCCCTGCGCTTATACGTCGAGAAAGCTAACGGAAACTGAGCGAGCGTGGGCCATCTGGGAGAAGGAGGCGTTCGCAGTGAAGTGGGCTTTGTCCACCTGGCGGCACTTATTAGAGGGGGCAAAACACCAGTTCGAGGTCTGGACAGATCATAAAAATTTGAAAGTGTTGCAAACCCCCAGGAGGCTATCCCCGAAACACGTCCGTTGGGCACAATACTTTCGCCGATTCCAGTTTCTCCTCAAATATGTACCAGGGGGTAAGAACTTTCTAGCGGACGCATTGTCTCGGTTACTACAATACAATAGCAAATGGGAGGAAGTGGTACAGGCAATCATGCCCCCTTACAGACAGGACTATGCAAAGGCAGCTTCCCGACCAGTAGTGGCAACTCTTGAGGATGAACTACGAACGGCTCTCAGAGATGATCCGTGGTTGCGGGAGAACCATGGGATGTTGACTCAAAGGGATGGACTGGCCTGGTATGGCAACAAACTGTACATCCCACCACCGCTGCGTAATCAGATATTCCACCGTTGTCATGACTCGAAACAAGCGGGCCACTTCGGGTTTCTGAAAACATTGCACCTGGCCCGGCGTCAGTTCTGGTGGCCTCGGATGAGGGTAGACGTAGAAGCCTACGTGAGAGGATGTCCAGTCTGTGCCATGTCCAAGCCCAGTCCAGGGAAGCCCATGGGACTGTTGCAATCGGTGGCTGACCCACACCACCCATGGCAAGACATAGCCATGGACTTTATTGTGGAACTACCCAACAGTCAGGGTTATACAGTAATTTGGATGGTAGTAGACCTTTTCTCTAAGCAGGCCCACTTCGTTCCCTGTAAGGGACTACCATCGGCTCGAAGGTTGGCTCGTATGTTCCTGTCACAAGTTTATCGGCTCCACGGGGCTCCGCATCGGATCATCTCAGACCGCGGGGTCCAGTTCACAGCCCACTTCTGGCGCGACTTCGTACGCCTCCTAGGATCCTCCCAAGGGGTCAGCTTGGCGTATCACCCGAGTACTAATGGAGCGGCAGAATGGGCAAACGCAGCGGTGGAGCGCTACCTTCGAAGCTATGTCTCGTACCAACAGACAGATTGGGTGGAGTGGGTGGTGTTCGCGGAGGTGGCCTACAGTAATGCCGTACATAGTAGTATAGGTTTCACACCCTTCCGGGTGGTTTCTGGCAGGGAATTCATGCCCATGCCGGAATATAGTGGCCAGGAATCCCAAACCTGTCAACCTGGGGAATGGTTAGCCCAAGTTAGCGGGGTATGGGGTGTGGTGAGAAAGGCCTTAGAAAAGTCAAGGCAGACGGCCAAAATACAAGCAGATAAGAAGAGGAGGGTCCAGAAGCCATTCAGGGTGGGAGACCTAGTGTACCTTTCCACTAAGTATATACGACTCCAGGTCCCTTGTCGGAAGTTAGCCCCAAAGTACATAGGTCCATTCCGGATAGCCCAAGTAATCAACCCCGTGACTGTGCGTCTCAAACTCCCGCGGTTCTTAGGCAGGTTACACCCGGTGTTTCATAGCAGTCTGTTGAAACCGGTGTCCCACGATCGCCCTATGGAAACCCCAGGTCCCGTAGCACCCGACCACTATGAGGTGCAGGAAATCTTGGACTCACGGGAAAGAAGGGGTGGGGTATATTACCTTGTCTTATGGAAAAGCTATCCACTGTCGGAAGCATCTTGGGTGAAGGATAGCGAGGTGCATGCTCCCCGGTTACTCAGGAGGTACCATAGCAAATATCCCGACAAGCCGAAGGGACAAACAGGGGGTGCAAACACATAGGAACGGGACCATTAACTCTGCTATGCTTGTATTCCAGGGAGACCTCTGGTAGGGGGAGCGGCACGTCGAGCCCGACCCGACCCGACCGCCAGCCGCCTCGTCTGCCTTACCGGCCTTGCCATTTCGCTGGGGCTCTGGACGACCGGCCCCAGTTGGAGGATGAAGGAGTCGGTCGTCGTATCGTCGGCTCCTCCCGGGCTCCGCCAGTGCTACAGCAGACGCTCTCCTCTGACGTCATCCCCCTGCGCCTCGCAGGGCCGACACTTGCCGAGGGGAAAGGACTGACGATGATTGGCCCAGCTGTACGGCAGGGCTGCGAGGACTGGGTTAGGGCCAAGTGTGGCAGGGCGGATGCTGGCTTGAGGGGTGGGGCAGCTTTAACGTGGGTGTGGCAGGCGCATTTCCTATGTAAGGCACTGGGAGCAGACGACTCCCAGTGCTGACTTTGAATCAAACGGAGTGAATTAAACTGCCGTTCGTCTACTGTACCTGCTTGCTGGCTGTTGTGTGGAGCACCAAGACAGGACGCATTGACAATTTCCCTCTAGTGTTTTTTTTTAAAGTCCAAGATATAGGTTCAATAGATTCAACATTCATTTTAGTTTCTTTCCTAAGGGAGGCCACTTTCTCCTAATATTTCTACTACTTCCATTTTCTCAGGTCTTCCTATATGGTTAGTGAAAGATAGCTAATGCAGTTGTTGCTTTCCTCTACCCTCTGAAGGGTACAATTTTCATCAAGACAAGTTAGGATAAAAACAGAATGTATACTTAGATGTAACAGGAGCATTTTCTGTTTTCAAGCAGCTCAAAATAGTAGAAAACATTTCATGGGTCAAAGTGCAAATAACAAATCACTCCGAAAATTTGTTATTTCTTTTCACTCAACTATTTCTTTTCACTCAACTATTTAATCTTGTTTAATTTAGAAATTTAGAATTAATTTCAGACAGACTATTAATATTGTGCTGAATTCTTGTTCTAGTTTTACTTATATGGTCTCTGAAACAGCTTTTGATGGCAAACATCATAAGATTTCTCTTTGTCAATTTGAATGTTAATCATAAAGCAATCTCTATTCCCCCTAAAAACTAACTGAAGAAAAAATAATGAAATCCAGGCACATCAGATAACAAAGCACTATTTCCCATGAAATCCAGGCCCATCAGATAATAAAGCACTATTTCTCTATGCAACAGTTTCCTTATGTTGTGTTTGATGAGTATTCATAACCCTTGCATGGAAGACAAGAAATTGAAAGAAAAACCACACACAATGGAGAATGTCACTGACACTATACTGTATGCTTGGAACAATTAGAGCAGCGGTTCTCAACCTGTGGGTCGCGACCCCATTTGGGGTCGCACGACCATTTCACAGGGGTCGCCAAACAACGCCGTCCGCCATTTTTTTTTACCCTTTTCCTTAGCTGTGCTACTCCCTCTGCTTGGCGGCAGCCTGCATGCAGGAACTTTACCAAACATGCCCTGCAGGAGGCGTGTGAAGAGCGCAGG